CCATCGAGGGAAATCGAACCACTGATTGTATCGTTGCAAATCCGAAGACTTACCACTATCCTACTGCAGACTTTTATATATATACATCAGTGGCATTTCTAGGATTTTATATTTGGGGGAGAGAAAGGGGTCAGATAATATTAAGTACAAAAAAATTGGCTTTTTTACCTTTAAGAAACGTCTGTGTATTCCTTTTTAATTACCAAAAAATCCGAAATTACCTCAGGCTTTTTTTCAAACAGTTTCGCAGAGGGTTTCCAGTTCACCAAAAAAATAATCCTGTTTTATTTTCGTACAAATTGGGCAATGAAGAATATGACCAATCTGAGCTTTATTATCGTCTTTCATTATCTAACTAAATGAAGATGAACAAAATTTCGAAATCATTCGTTTCACTGAAAAGTGTATGTAATGTAGTCTGGCTAGTTATCGTGGAATAAAAACCCAACTTTAAATGAGTTTGACCCAGTATGAATCAGGGAAAGATGCACGTTTCGGAAAGCATGAACTTGTGCATGTGTATGTGGCGTTTCTAATGTTATTAGTTTCGAAATATGTGAAGAAACGGTAAATATACATTATGTAAAAATGAACGTATTATTCCATAACAGTACCTCACTACCAAACCAAAAACATATAGATATAGAAGAAATTGTTGTTTTTTTTAATTATTATTTCTTCGTGATTACATGCAACATTACGAATATATAGACATTATCATGGATTTGGCTACATTTGCTATATCATACCTATATCAAGATACAAGGCATGGTAAACTGAAACCAAGAAATATTTAGGTAATGGTAATGCATGCATCAGGGACTTGTCCACTGGGGTATCGTGGACAACAGACCCCCATTGGAGAGCTCTGCCCCAGCAGCCATCCACTTGAGATATCAGGATTTATTCTTTTAATATTTTAAAATTTTCTTTACATTGCGACTCCTACTGATATGATCTGAAAAGGAGTATTCATTCAGATGAGACCTAAGGGTAGGTTTAGAAGTAACTTGAAACAACATCAGACCTTCCTCAAAAGAAAAAGCGGGGTTGTCTTGCTTTCAAGTTTGATTAGACTTTACAATAGCGAGGCGAAGTTTTTCGGTGAATGAGAAGGTTGAGATCTTATAGCTCAGCTATTTAGATTAGCTGATATTCATCAACATTTTAAATCTGTTACTAGTTCAGCACTATATAAAACAACCTATTGGCGACAAAGTTGTTTGTAATAAATACAATGAGCGTTTTTTTTCCATGAACAAAAGATTTAATTGAAAGTAAACTTCAATGACGACTTCATTACAGACAGAATGTTTGAACAAAGTGACTGAGTACACAAATTAGGCTAACCTAAAAGTCTCGGAGTTGGAAACGTTATTATTATGGTGTTTTTCTATTATTCTTGAAAGTATATAATAACTCGTCGAAAGTTGTATTTTCCACTTCACGGCGGCTTTATAATGCACTGATAAACGTAAACTTTATATAGATATTTAAATATGTAAGTTTTCTTTGCAAGCCTGACACTCAAAGTAATTACGATACGCTAGTCCACTGATGGGTCAGCAGTACGTTTACGGGCTTATAACGCTAAAAATTCAAGGTTTGATTCCTCTTAAAGAACACAGCAAATAACATAACGTGGCTCTGCACTAAAACAAACAAACTATAAGCCACTAAAAATTCTAATCGACATTCTTCCGTAAATTTGTCCAACATTTTATTGATAAGAATTGGTTGTGTATATTTGTCATGTACTATCGTCTCATTGTTTTATGATAAATTCTAAATTGAGATGTTCTTCCTAATACTATACTCCGGTTATTAAATATACTGTGATCTTTCATGCACATAGGCCTAGTCCAGTTGATAGTGTGCTTGTCTCCTGAACCTAGTGTCCCGAATTTAAACCTCACAGTACAGTTCTCAATACAGTTTCAACTAATAAAATATCATAATGTATTGTGAGGTTATTTCAGTTTATAATATAGTCATATTCTGTAACCTACTATTAAATATATCATATTATAGCTATCTGTATCAACGTTGGATCAAATAACGTTCTGAAGCCTAATCATAACAATTCTAATCATAGATAGGAAGTGACACTGAAAGACTCCAATGTTGAATGTTATTTATGATCGTTCTACAGAGGTCATGCTCTATCTGGCAACTGTGTGTCTTGACAAAAGCCCTTTTGCAAAAAGACTCCGTCAAATGGTTTCCGTGTATAAATCAAATCACTTCTCACTGTGTGCTGCTTTCCATAACCCATGTGGTATATGAGGACAGCGGTTTCTTGGCGCTCGGTTTAATTTAAGAGCCCAATTTCATAGAAATCCATAGGTACGTCTTCTTGTCGAATAGCATGAATATTCGTTTCGTTATCCATTGCTTGAGGCATGCGACAGTTGAACAAATGCATCGTAGAAGCAGCTTGTGTACACGTGACTTTTAACACGTTTCCAAACGAAGATCCTTCTTGATTATGTCTTGCACTGTTGCCTGGAAGGCTTTTTGCCACTGAACTTACAAGACTCGTTACAAGTCGCCGTTACTTACCACGGGTTGGGATACGACTTGTTGCAGGTCTCTTTGGTACAAAGAATATCACCGTCCTAGAAATTCTAAATACATGTCTGAATACATCTTTACGATCTGAGTGGATAAATACTTTGCGTCGAAAAGGGCTGTTATACCCTTTCCACTTTTCTGTAACATCTTCTGTAACAGTTCTGAAACATGCCAAGACTTTTTATCATTTTCGTTTGTCACTTCACTTGCCAATTTGGTTGTTCAAAATCGTTTTAGTATAGCACTCTCAACCCTCTATATAAAAGGTATTTTAAGTGAATTATTCCATGTTTAACAGATGACTTATGTATCAAAAATTAAATGTTCTTCACTGCATTTCTTATTATGAAACCATACATTTACAGAGATAGGCTATTTAGATAACTCGTGAGTATTTGTTTTTACTTAGGTACTTGCCTAAAATAGCTGAACAACTGTATTCAAAACTTATTTGATGGATTTAAACCAAATTTAGCATACACATCTATAATGGAACAAGTGGCCTGCTTTATTGAGGCCGTAAGTCAAAGACTGAAAGCTACAGAAAAGATAATTTACTTCTACAAAACAGATACTGATATAGATAGCTAAAACAATACGACCTTATGCATGTTAAGTTCGTTTTACTGTGTTTGTACATGCAGATTCTCAAAATCACATTTCTGACAAATTATTTAAAGGTTATGAATGTTGTAGAACCACGAAAATTGACTGGCCTATGTTTAGGTAAAAAGTCAATGTTAAAACGAAAAGTGTATTTTTATTTTTAAAGGAAAATGCAGTTATAGCAAGATACGTCCAAAAGGTCACATACTGTGTGTGCTTTTTTATACAATTTTAGAGAAATATTTAAATCACATAAAGAATATAAATCACAATATATTCACACAAAAACTAGCTTATCAAAAATTTGATAATTATAGAAATAATATTTCGTAACTCTAAACAAATAATCATAAAATTGTATTTCAAGAGTTTAATGATCGCTCGCACAAGCCATCCAGTAGCACAGCGGTATGTCTGCGGACTTACAACGCTAGAATACGGGTTTCGATAACCGTGATGGGCAGAGCACAGATAGCCCATTGTGTAGCTTAACTTCAAAAAGAACAACAACAACAAATCGCTCGCACAAGAAAAGAAATGAATATCTATGTTAACAATATTTGTTTAATTTTATGTAAAAAAAAAAAAACAGGAAGAAAAAGTAAATTTTCAATAACACGTTTGAGAAAACATTTCCGACGAAATAACAATTACAAACGGGCCCGGCATGGCCAGGTGGTTAGGGCGCTCCACTCGCCATCTGAGAGTCGCGGGTTCGAATCCCCGTCCCACCAAACATGCTCACCCTTTCAGCCGTGGGGGCGTTATAATGTGACGGTCAATCCCACTATTCGTTGGTAAAAGAGTAGCCCAAGAATTGGCGGTGGATGGTGATGACTAGCTGTTTTCCCTCTGCTAAATTAGGGACGGGTAGCGCAGATAGCCCTCGTGTAGCTTTGCGCGAAATTCAAACCAAACAAAACAATTACAACAGGACAATACACACATATAAATTGATAACATAAAACGGACATGGCCCTGAAAACGAAAGTACCAACAGAAATACATTAACCCCATATCAAACCAGCCAACCATAAAAAAAACCTGAACCACAGAAAAAAACAATCAACAACAACCGTACAGAAGGGAGGAAGAGGTCTATTTGAACCTGACCCTCCCAGGTCGATGACCTAAATCCCGATTCGGAAAGAAGAAGACTGCATTCTTAAGTGGCCCAATGTGAGTATTCAATAAAAAGTATAATACCATTTCATGTATACTGTGTTTGTAACAGTCTGTTAGAAACTAATGGTAATAAATTATCATTCTTATTATTATGTTTCACCACACTTATTAAGCGATTATGCTTTGGTGGTATACATCATTCAACTTCATTCTGAGCTTCATCTTTGGCCTATATTTCACGGGCAACATAAGATCTTTCCCCCAAAAAAGCCTGTGTCTCACATATATTCTTTTAGTTCCAGAAAGATAGACATATATGGTAGTGAGCTACCGATAGAAAACTAAAGAGCAAAGAAATACACAATATATTTCAAAAGTTAAAAAAAATCGAATTATGATTCACATAATTTAAATAGATTATAAGCGTGTGTTAAAGAAAAGTTAAAACGAGTATTACAGTTAGTTGCAGTGTGATGGTCATGGCTCATAGTATTGAGAGCTGGCCACATAATGATATTTGACGAAAACAGTTTTCATTGGTGTTTTTAATTACAAAATACATTGCAATCCTACAAAACAAATATTGGTTCGCTATGTAAATCTAATTTAAATATAAACACTCACGCACTTCATGTATAACATAGACTTACAAGGGATCAAAAGAGTTTTCCCTTATAGAAAGTTTTGTTTCTCACCTTTTTCTATGCACGACGACATTGTCATTGAACCACTCGCAATAAACGCGTTAACGCTGAAACTGGAAATAAGTTAACTACTTACTGTTCAGCTCGGCTAGTTATAGTCTCGTTCCCAAATACCTTCGTTCTTTGTTGCTGAGGGTAACAAGCGACTCTCTATATCGGGATCTAGATTCTTTTCGAAATGTAACAATCCATGTTTTGGGCCAGGGAGGATCAGGTTCAGCGTTGACCTCTCCCTCCTTCTCAGAAATTGCTATTTTGTTTGCACTGTTACTGAATCCTAGTTAATAACCTTTGTTACGTTGTTGCATTACTCACAGTATATTAAATTGTGTCCATTTTTTGCTATTAATTAACATGCCCTTTTCATGCCATGTCCGATTCATGGGGTAATATTAACTCGTACATTTTCACTAGCTTCACAGTATTCATTATATAATTTCTGTAGTGTACATAGGTGTATAAAAGACATTTTAATGCTAGAAATAAATGACCTTAAAACACCAATTTTTTTTATTCTTCTTTAACTGGACACTCAACGTTTCGCTTTACAGCTTCTTCAGGAGCGTATTACTAAAACACAAACCGCAACTGAATATTAACAAATTCTGGATCTTTTGAAGCTTTGTACTGTTAGTTATGGTTTGTGTTTCAGTGGAACACTTGGCAATATTGTTGAAAGGTAGAGAGCTCAAAAGTTCCCGACAAAATGGACAGTATGTGGTTACTTCTACTGAATACTGGCTGTATCCTTTCTTTACGCTGTCTCACTGTTGATATGCAATTTCCTAATCTGTTTAAGTTCGGTTTAGGTTTAGTTGTTGTTCAGCACAAAGCTACACAATGGGCTATATATGCTCTGCCCATCACGGATATCGAAATTCAACTTTTTGCGTCGTAAGTCTAAAGAATACTGCTGTGCCACTGGGAGACTTATTGAAGCATAATAAAAATGTTGTTTTATCTTAGATTCTCAAACATTGTAGCAGAACGCTATTTAAACACTATGAAAGAAGTAAAGACAGATAAATGAAACAGCTTATCAGCGTTAAGATAAAAAAGTAAAAATCCAGTATCGTTATGGACCGAACGAATAAAAGTATATGCTTTTGAGCTGGATGCTTATACGAAGAAAAGATTCAGCCAGGTAAAAGCACTACCATTAATTGCATCGACATCCTCATTTTTCTTGGATTCTAAATAAAACAGTTTTGCTATTTGTTCGTATATTGATTTTAACCCGTTTTTTTTTTACCTTTTTCTTTGCGAATAAACTTTTTAATGCAAAGGAAAAATTGAGGTTTCTGCAATTATTATGAAAAACGAATGACTGTACCATTTACAATTTAATTAGCTTTTTCGTGTATGCTACTTTGTCATTTTTTAATTGGTGTTTTTCATATTCATATCTGGGTGTTTTACTAATACTAATAGTAAAACTCAGAAAATAGTTGAAATTTATAAAAGAAAGACTATTTTGAATAAAATGTAGTAATTTCAAGACTTATTTTAGGATCACTAGTTAATTTACAGAATTTTTATGTCCAACGCTAGAAATTCAAATAATTTTGAATGGAAACAAAACATCTACTCCGTTTGTGATTAAAATAAGAATTAAGAAAAATGGCAGAGTTTCCTCAACAGGTTTTTTAAACTAACACTAACCATCACGTAACTTAGGTATATGAGTAAATGGTAAGAAAATGTTGTGTATATCTTTTCATAAATAGTTAAATCAACTTAATTTAATACTAACAGCCTGAGAAATACTGCAGAGTGCAGTAGTATTATAATATAAAGTAGTTAGCATCTCATCATCTGTAGTTTTAACGACTGTAAAGTGTAAGTTGTAAGTGTAACGCGAAGAATTAGAATGAATTATTGAATTAGATCGTGAGATAGGTGAGCGCTTTACCGTTTACGAATCATAATTTAACAAAATCTTTAGCTCAGTGTCATGATGTTGGATGATTATGTGTGTAATAATATTTTTGCACATTTTAATATTAATTACTCCTGTAAAGTGTAAGCAGAGAATGTGTGTTTCTCGGCTTAGAAAGACTCAACCTCAAAGAGTGCTGTACTGAAATATCACACTCTTTATCTTACTCGTTTATTAATTATTGCAATTTTCATTGTTTCATTATGTTCAAATTTTAGTTTTACATTGCAAATATTTGACTAAAGTGTAATTAATGATATTAATATGCAAGTGTAATTTATTATTAGCTATTATAATAAAATTTGCTTAAAAGTTAAATTGTGAGCACACACTGCATAGATTCTATCTTCTAGTACAAAATTTAAAATTATATATTCAGTAGCCTATTTATAGCTTAGTAAGCTGTTTTTTTTTTTCTGAAGAACAAAAGGCAAGGTGACAGAAGGCAACAAAGGTCATCCCTATCACACACACGTCAAATATATATGTATATATATATGTACAGTGTAGCTCTTTACATTCACAAATATTATCAAAAAATTTAAAATTATTCCTACTAATTACATTAGCATGGGGCATTCCATCACTGGCAGACATTTCCTTGTGTTTGAAACAAGTCCCTTCCACCCCCAATAAAAAACTGTCAAAGAAGAAAACGTTTTAAAGCTTAGGTGATTCATAGGAAGAATGTTGAGACCATAATAATGGTTTTTAACACTTACATGAAGTCACACATAATTCTCTGAAATTTTATAGAGAGAGCAACTTTGAAGCTTTAACTTAAGGATACAGTTTGTCAAGTAACTCTCTTGAGTTTTTTGTGTATTAGCTGCATACAAGAGGATTACAAAGATTAAATGAGGGATTGTCTGGAATGTGTGTGGATTAGCTTTTGACAACAGGTAAACTACAGTATATGTAGTGGGACAGATTTAAGGGAAGGATAGAAGTGTTTGTACATGATAATTAGTGCTTTTAAATATGTTAATTGGGAATAAAAACTCTAAATGATTTTATTAGAGACTGCTATTTAATGATAAATGAAATTTCTTTTGACTTTTGGGGGTTTATATTATGGATTTTGAGGGACTTGAGATTATTAAGTTGGTTCATAACAACAGTGATAGAGAATTGTAAATTATGGGATACGAGGAATCTTTATACCTATCAAGGATATTCTGACTTCCATACTCCCTCTACAAAACTAATCATAAAACCAGTTCTGATCTTTCAAATGTTCCTCAACCCTTTTATTAAACTCTTGTAAAGTTGCAGCTTATACCACACTAAATGGCACTTTGTTCCACATATTAACCATCACCCTGTTGGAGAAGTAAAACTACCTTTGAGAAGATATGTCAGACCTTCTAAATCTTGAATTTATGGCTTTTTCTCCAATTGCCCTCAGATTGAACACAAAAAGTCTATCTGATGGATCAGTCTTATGAATTTTCTAAATAATTTTGAATACTTTAATTATAGGTACATAAATCTCCCCTCTCACTTGTTATGAGAGAGAACACATTAAGAGATCACAGCATATCTTCATACAACAACAAATTCATCCCTACAGTCATCCTAGTAGCACTCTTCACCTTCTCCAACAGCTCAATATCCTTCCTAAGATAAGGAGATTAATAACTGCACATAATACTTCAAATGAAGTTAAGTAGTGACTTATAGAATGAAACCATGGCCTTTTTAGGTTAGTTTTACTACATACAATAGAACACTGTCTTGAAGACTTAACAGTTATATCAGTTAATACCCAAAAATTCTTATCTTATTCATATATTGAAGGGGATTTGCAAAATTTATTGGTGATTGACCAGGTAAAGGCTTGCGATTTCTTTGTTATATTCTGAAGATAATAGGATGAGAGGACACAAGTTTATGACTTGGAAAAAACAGGTTAATCCCCATTTAATTGTAAGAACTTATGAGTGAGAGTAAAGAAGAATATGCGGTGTCAACCGCACTGTATCTGTTATATCCAGTAATGATAATGCCTTTCACCCAATACCATGGCATATTAAGCCAGCTGAACTACAACAACATGGTAGTGGTAGAGATATTATTTGTAACACAGTTTTATTTCTCTAACATGGGGATTAATTTATGGAATGAATTGCCATAAGCAGTAGTGGAGACCAGCACTTTATAGGAGCTTAAGAAAAATAGTCAAGTTTTAAATTTTTCCTTTTCTCATGGGTGGGTGTGCAAGGAGAACCTTGAAGGAAGTCCAAATAATCCATTGTTGTTTGTATGTTATTTTAAATGTATGCATAATTTATATTATGATTATCCACAATGATAATTTTACACGTGTGATAATTAGATACCATTTCCTGAGCATGAGTCAACAAAATCAGTCTCTCCAAAATCACAGCATCCATGATACAGCCAGCCAGACCTGTAGGATTATTTGACTAATATTATATATTTGGAAGCCACTTTTGTGTTTTGGTAATTTATCTATTTATGTTATTTTGTTATATGTATTTTTTATTATTTGGTTTTCTAATTTTTTTTTGTAACTACTCGTGTTCTCTTTTTGTGTTGTTTCTTTCTCTTGGTTTTGTCTTTTTTTATGTTATTTCTCTGTATGATGGTTTTCCTATATACTTTCTTCTTGTGAGCCCTTTTATTTCCATTTCCAGATTAATAAGAATTTTAATAATTTATATTTTAATTTAAATGTAATTTTTTATGAACTTTATTTATTTTCAGGAAAAAAGCTATAGTCTTAAAGGTTATATTGTATATTTTTGCTGTTTTTTTTTTATCATCAAAATAATGATGAATGAGATTCAGACTGATCTTTTCTGTGTATGTGTATGTTTCGTTGTTAGATTTTTATTTACTACCATGTATTTTCTATTAAAGTTGTTTGCCTATGGTCATTGATTTGTGCAAATTTTATTATGATTTAAATTGTGCAATATGTAATTGTTGTTAAACATTCTGGATGCCATCAACAATCTATTTTCATGCTGCTTCCTTATTTAACATAATTTTTTTACTTGTTGCTTCTGTAGTTTGTCATTTACCAGTGTTAAAGAAAATTTTCTTTTTTCAGTAAAAAGTTCTACAAAAGCCCATATTTCCTTTACTGTTCATCCTTTTGTCTCTTTTGTATTTATTCATAGATTTTAACTGTGTAATCCATTTGTTTGTATAATGTTTTCAGTTATTACTTTTCCTGTCTAATTATAATAATCTGTTATAGTTTCTTGTGATGTATGTGTTTGTCTGTTTCTATATTCAATATGTATATTTCATGGTTAATGTGTATGTTAGTACTGTTTTTCTTCTACATGTGGTCAAGTTTTTGAACCTTGTATTTAACTTGAAGCTGTTGTGTTTAGTTTCTTTCACTGCAAGATAATTTGGTACATCTGAACCTGTATAGTTTATTTTTTGTCTTATTTGTTTTATTTTCAATTTTTGTTATGCAGTTTGTATTTTGGGTTGTAAACATATTTCTTGTTGCTGTATTTTGTCTTAGGAATGGATCAACATATAGGAGTTTTAGAAAGTATAATTGTTTTTGTTTTCCATTAGTAGTGTCTATGTTTTATTTTTGTGATGGTGTTTGTGTATTCTTTTCCTTGTTTATGCCATGTTCTTAGATTAGTTTGTGCAACTTAAGTTTTGCAGATTTTTCTAAATGTTATTATAATGAAGCTTGCGATGTATACATCCAAAACTCAGATGTCAGAAACTACCACATTGATCATCACCAATCATAGCTCGATGATATTTTTATAACTAGGCAGTATTTTTATAGCTGAGCAGTAAATAAAACAATTGAAATTTTCACAAAAAGGAGTAAGTTTCAAATATAAAACAATCAAAAAACAAACATAAGAAAATTATTTATTTTTCTTTAGTGAAAATCTCACGAGTGTTGCAACAGAAAAGCAAGGCACTTTCATTGATAACTGCATAAAATCTACTCTGTGATGTAATGCTCTGATGATAGCTCATTTTTAAACTAAAATTTCAATAAAATCCTTTTTCTCATGGATGGTGAACATTCTTGAATGTCAATTATGAGTACATTGTTTTAGAACTGTCAGACAATTCCAGAAAAGGCTGCAGGTACAATAGCCTTCTTCAGGAACTAGCAGTTATATCTGCCCTCTGCAAAATAACACATTTATTGACATATCAGCTGTAAAGAAGCAGATTACATAAATAAAATTCTTGGATTTCAAATTCAACTAATTTCTTGTTATCTAAAAAAAAATCATTCAAGTATGAAAGTTGCACATTTCTTTATTCTGTAGGGATGAGTAGTTTCATGTGCAAAATGAAGAGAGAGCAACAGGCTTTAATTATGAGAGATGAACAAGTTTTAATTCCTGTGTGTCCTAGATATATTATGGACAAAATATTTCAAATAGTTCAAGAATTTATGATGAGGAGGAACAGGGTGTAGATCATGACTTCTGCCTACATTAGAACTTCAGCATCCCATGAGAAAATGAATTCATTGAATTATGTCTATGACAAGGATTCACCAGCGAGATGGAAAACAGGAAAAATGCTTTCTGTCCGAGTCCAGTTCTTGGATGATTCTTTGGCAGATTTTCAAGTTCAGGTTAGAAAGTTAGTTTGAAGATTGTTTACATGTATATGGAGAAATACAAATATCCTCTCTAGTAAAACTTTTACAAAGAAAAAAAAAATGAGTATATTTAAAGATAAGTGTGATTGAAGATTACAATTATACTGATCATATTTTGAAACCCTAAATATCTAACTAGTTTGTTTGTCTATCTACTAATGAAAGTGCATAGCATTTCTGCAGAAGCTGGTAAGTCATGATCCTTGATTGTTTTCAAGATAAATATGTTAAAAAATGATATTAAGACAGGTAAACTTTTGAATACAATTCTCTTAGTTGACAAAGCATTAACTTCAGTTACATTTTCTGACTTGCAAAATACAACTCGCAAGGACAACTGGGTAATAATACAAACTTTTAATGAAACCGTGTATTTACATGTGTTTTAGTATTTTATTAAATATTAAGTTGTATATATATATATATGTATATATATATATATATGTGTATATAAAGCCAAATCTTGTGAAAATAATTAATAAAAAACTTGGTACATTTTGTGAAACATTTTAATGACTCTTATTAGAAACCTATATTGAGCCACACTTTTGATTTGTACATCATAGAATAAAAAGACTGCAAGCATGCATATTGAACCAACATTTTATGCCGTAAGTTAAGTAGTGTATGCTTTTTTCTGCTGTTGATATACTGAACATTAAATAAGCATTAGTATATTACCATCTGTTGTTGCATAAGTTCAGTAACATAATACAAGAAACTATGCAAATACTTAGTGGCTTATAAAGCTTGTATATGTTTATATTCTTTATACCTCTACTTCATGATGATGATGCAAGGCCTTCGAGATATTCAATCTCACATTACTTAACATATTAAGAAGATCCATGAGGAAATGTGTTGAAATGTCTCCAACAAAGAAACCTTTTTAGTAGGTTGTCCATTATAAATCCACTGTAGGACACATCACATCTGAATACCATGCAGCCAGGATTTTGCATAAGTGTTTAACCTTCCAGTAAATTATACTCTCAAATGTGTTACGTAGGATAAGACATAACTGCAATGGAGAAAATTTTCCATTTCTATTGAGTTACAAGTTTCCAAAAAATACTTATTAGCTAATTATTTCGGTATCAGAAGCTATACTGAGTTATAACTGTAAGTGCATACATGAACACATGCATACATACATACATACATGCAAACATATGTATGTATATATATAAAACATACACTCTTACATTTGTGTTTAAATGTGTTTGTGTGATTAAATTAGACATATTTTTAACTAGTCTTTTTTTCTTTTATAGTTCAAAGCTTTAGGAAAGGTTTTGTTTGAACAAGTTTGCAAAGTGTTGAACTTGCTAGAAGTTGATTACTTTGGGCTGGAATATCCTGATGCTTATGGAGTTATGGTAATTCTTTAATCAATTTTATCTGTATTTTTTTATTGTAGTTTGCTTACCTTCAAATGAAACCTAAACCAAAGTAAAATTTCCAATATGATGTTATACCTCCACTTACAAAAAACTTTCTCAACTTTTACTACCCTATATGGGTGCAAATTTTCACATGCCACTAACCTGATACTCCCACTTATTTCTGCACACTAACATGCAAACGATTATGCAACAACCCTCCACCAGTAGGAATGCGACCCTACCCTTATCATAACTAGCACCCTTTCTAATCTTGCAGCTGTTAACCACTTCCCGATTGGCAGTCTTATTGAATAGACGTGTATATGCTTGCGGTTTGATTCACTGATCCACAAGTTTTTACTTTCTTAATTTTTATACTTTAATTGCATTTTTCTTTACTGTTTTCATTTTCTTTTGTGGAGAGTTATGAATTATATTATTTATCTTCTCTCCTCTTTCAATTTCTGAGTTATGCACTCACAGTTTCAATTGGTCATAACTACAACTGCTGCAACAGAATTACTGACCACGTCCAATGGATCAGAACCACGTTTCTCGGCCCATGATGTGGTGGCTCAGAACATACTGATGATTGTCATACCATGGTTTTCAGTGATTGGGAAGTTTTAGATTTGGACAGCCTTTTTTGCCCTCCTGAATATGCCTCTCAGTCTCATGTCACTTTGGGGGACTTGTCCAGACTTCTTTCCCCTTCGGTGGATTTGAGTAATCGGGTATGTTATGTTCTGTCTTTATGTTCTCTTCTTGGGGACTAGCCTTTGGGTCATTTATTTTTGTGTTTCCGCTTTCCATGGATATTGGGGTTCATGCTAGTCATTTTGGGGAGCATTTGTATTCCGGGTAAGTATGCATCGACCCCCACATACTGTGGATGATCGTGCTTTTTATTATAATTTTTCCAACTTCCCTTATTTTGACTCACACAATTGGTGCTGCTTCTCCCTTAGTGGGGATTGGACCCTGATAATTCGATTACCTTTTCCCATATTTGTCTTACTCTGACCACCCTTCTTGAGTCAGGGTTAGTGGGTACCAGACTCCTTCAATTTGTCCATGTTTGGAGGTCCATGGTGGTCGATCCATGGGTTCTGAAATTTGTTTCAGTAAGTCTGGTCCTCTACTTCCATTTATCTCCTGTGTTGTCTCACAATCCCGTTTCTTTCTCCCCTCCTTGGGATCCCATTTTTTGCCTGCCTAATTCATTCAAGTGTCCTTTGTTTCCACCATTCTATGGATGTATAGCTGCTTCTTGCTTTCTCACAAGACAACTCAGATCTACATCCTAAGTTTCCTCTCCAGAACACTGTCATGGTTGTTGGCTTGTTACAATAGAGCAATTTTTTCTCAAACCTACACAATTTTTGGTTAATGTCAGGGTATTTTTTCAATTCTCTCCTCTATTGAGCCCTATCTGCTCCACTTTAGTTGCAAACTATGGAATGTCTTGTATGCAGCATCTCATCCTTTCCTTCTCCTGCTGTGCAAGAGGTTCAATCTCTTTGGGCCCCACTACTGTCCCATCACTTTGTTGGTATGTCATCATGTGGGTGTCCTGAATTTAGTCGCGGATCAGTTATCCTATCCTGACAAAATTCTCCTTGCGGTGTGGTCTTCATATCTTCCAGTTTTTTGGGTTTTGTGTGTTCTGTGTGACGTCCATATTTAGATGGTTTTGCTACTCTTCTCAATACACCACTTCCCCAATTTTACTCTCCTATTCCTTTTCCTCTGGTGGGAACTGTCAATGCTCTCAGTTGGGATTGGTTAGGTTGGTACCTATATGCATATCCTCCTATTTGTCTCCTCCCACATTTCGTTGCCATACTTCAGACCACTTTGTGTAGTGTTCTGCTGCTGGTTATGTATTGGCTGACTCACACGTGATTTCCACTGCTGCACTGGTTTTTGGATGTCGCCTCCATTTCTCTTCCTTTATCTATGACACTCCTCCCTCAGCCACACTCAAGTGTGCATCATCCATCTGTACCTGCACTCCATATTCACAAGTGGCTTTATCTGGTCTCTCACCTGAATGGTTGGATTTTCCTATGTAACGTTCTTCATTTTCTATCCTGTTCTTTCTTCCTCTATGGCAGTTTATGTATGTACCACTTTTGGTCTGTCCTAAGGGTTTATAGTCCTTCCCATCCTGCAGTTCCTCAAATACTGTCCTTTTTGTCTTGGTTTTTAAATGAGAGCTTTTGGTTTCCTCTGTTGTTGGCTATAGCGTGGCATTATTTGCCACTTTTTGGTTTACTGACTTTGCTTGTGTTTTCCAGTTGCCAGTCTTATCCACGTTGTTTCATTCCTTCCATTTTTCCTGTCCTCCCCATGCTGCTTCCCTTCCATCTTTGTGTGGTCCACCATGCTTTTCCCCATCCTTCATTGGACCTTTTGTCTTCATGTTCTTTAAACCACCTTCCCTTTAAGTCCCTGTTCCTATTCTTATTAGCGTGTGAACAATGTTGTTCTGATGTGTTCTTTTCTGATTGTTTCTTTATGTCCAAATTTTGGCTGCTTTTGAAGGAACTACTTCCTTCCCTCTTTTCCCACATTTATGACTGTTCCTATCCCATCTGCCTCCTTTCCCAATTAGGGCTCCTTGATGGTATATGACATATTGTACTGTTCCCTTTCATGGTTCCTGGTACCGTTTGTTTCTTACATGAAATTTTCACTTCTCCTGTGGCATTTTTCCTATTACCCTTCTGGTTGAATTTGCCAGGTGGTTTTCTTCACTTTCTCTTGATAATTGTCACTTTTTACATGTTTTTCTTCCCATCAGGTCTGTCACCTTACCAGACAACATTTGAATCTTTCATATTTGGTTGCTCACTTGTCTCATTCTGATCCCATGCTCTCTCCCATAAATTATCCTGCACTTTCCCATCCTTTACCAGTTCCTACCGCTTGGGGTTCAACATTTTATCTTGTGTCTCGATGTCTGGTTAATCATTGCCAGCAATTCTGGTGACTATCAGGTGATTTCTGGTCCAGTGGGGGTGTTTTTAGCCGATATTGTTCTCCTGTGGCGGGAATTAACTATCGATCCTTGGGTGGTATAAGTTTTGTTAGAAGGACTTTTTATCCATTTCCTTTCCCTGTCCTGTTGTCTCCAGTTACCTTGGAATCACACTACCAGTCAGCATATATCCGAGGTTGTGCAGACTCTTCTGTCACAGAGAGCAATTGAGTGTGTTTTCAAGGATTTTACTCCAGGCATCCTGCGATCAATCTGTCCTGCCTCAACCAATTTATGGATCTTCTCCATTTTACTATGGAGTCCCTTTTAACACTCCAGTGGACGTTTTCTCCAGGACTGTGGATGACCAAAGCTAGACATCTCGAATGCTCATCTCCATATTCCTATTTCTTATTAGTCTAGATGCTATCATTTGTTTGTCCAATACAGGGTCATGTATCAGTTTTGTGCCTTGCATTTTGGGCTTGCTTCAGCACCATGTGTATTTTGTCAGGTGGTCAAAGCCTTTGCTCGATTTATGCATGCTCAAGGGTTGTGTTTCCACCACTACATGGATGACTGGCTCCTGTTAGCTAATTTTGAATAGAAATTTTCTCGACACACACATCTGCTAGTGACAGAAGCAGCTCATTTTGGTTGGATTCTCAAGTTGGAGAAGTCTTTCCTTTTGCCTACCCAATATCTTCTTCACTTGGGTGTATTTTTGAACACCCATCTCAGTCGGGCCCAACCTGCTTCACTTCATCTCTTATGGAGCTTTTAGTTCTCCCTGCCCTTGCTGCTCCCTCTCTTTTTGCAGGGTGCTATCACCTTTGGGAACTTGGGCTTCTATGGGATCCCTTGTACTCCTAAATTACCCTTCCTCCTTCCCTTGCATAGGCAGTTGAATAAGTACAACACGACAATGGGAATATCACTTCCTCCACCTTGTCAAGATTTGCATCTGTTCACTGATGCTTCTCTTCAAAGTTGGAGGACATGAATCAATCAGCAGGAGCCTTCTGAACAATCATCTCAGGTCGAAAAGTTCTACCAAATCAACATCTTAAAGCTTCTGGCAGTATGATGTGCTCTGGGTCATTTTCTTTCTATGGTACAGAACCAACTTGTCGTGATCCATGCAGCCAATTCCACCATTGTGACATATATCAATCACCAATGAGGCTCTCGATCTTTTGTGGTTGAACATTAGAACTCATTTATTGAGCAAACAAGCTGTTTATGAGTCTCCTTGCATGTTATGTTACAGGTGCTTTCAACTTTGTGGGGGATCATTTTTTTGGACCTGACCAGGTTTTTTTATTCACAGAGCTGTATCATAACCCTCATTGTTTCAGATGGCTATGCAGTTGCTGGGTGCTCCTCATCTGAATGCTTATGCCACTTTCTTCAACATCAAGTTACCTCTTTTTTTGGTCTCCAGTTCTTCATCCTCAGGCCCTGCCTGTGGATGCTCTCAGTCAGGACTGGACCAACTGGTACTTTTGTGTATACCCTCCCATCCGACTCCTTTCTGTTCATCCATGCCACTATGTATCGGGTCCTTTTCACTGCACCTTATTGACGAGCACAACCATGGTGTTGTCGTCTCATCCAACACCAAACTATACCCCCCCCCCCTTTTTGTTGTTCCTGTTCCCACCTTTTCATTCCCTGGCAACATTCTCTTGTACGTGACTTTTCTCCTTCTGCCTTTACAAGTTGGGTTCATCAACTGATTCCATTGGCGTATTCCTCCTTGTTACAGGTGCCATTGCATCAAATCAGTCACCTTTAACTTTCCATGGTGTCTCACCTCCATTGTCCATTGGAGAAAATTCTTCAGTCAGGCACATGCAATCTACATCTCATATGTTCATCTCCCACTATCTTAATCAGGTTGCTGTTTATACCTCGTCAGAGTACTGCTTTTTTGCCTGTCATCATCCTTCAAACTTTGGTTTAGCTGTGACTAAGTTATCTTTTCTAAATATATTTCTTTTCCTTCCAGTGGCATGTCCCATTTAGGTTTAGGATCCCACTCAGTGGTGAGCATTGCCTGTCCGGGTGTGCTTCCTATCTCAAATTTGCACTGAGTGGCCAAGAGGTATACCCATGGCCAATAACGCACACTTGTATGCAACACCTATTTTCTCACTGGGCACAGAGTATACTTGCCACATAAGTGGTGCAGTCTGTCACATGTTTTCCTCTTCTAATGAGGATTACACTTCATAGGTGTTCTTCAGATGCTTTTGAAGGATACTTCTTTATATTCCTCACACTGGTCCCTCCAACTATTCAATGTGGGATTCTAGCTATACGTGTGAATAGAGGTAAGGTTCAGTATCGGAAGTTATTATTTTCCTATACTGAAAATATATTTTTGATAGGTACTTACCTCCTTTCACACTTCCCATTCTTCCTCCCTGCTCAAAAACTAATGCTTCCTTTCTGCCTAATCTTGAAATGATAGTTCAGTAGAATTGGCTAGAGGGAGTCATGTGGCAGGAGGATGTTTTTCACTCCTATTGTTCACACTTCCCACCCTTCCTCCCCACTCAAAAACTGGTGCTTCCTTTCTGCCTAATTTTGAAATGATAGTTCAGTAGAATCGACTAGAGGGAGTCACATGTGTCAGTAAGGTGTGTTGCACTCTTATTGGTGGAAGATTTTCACATGATGATTTACATGTGAGATGCAGTGACCCACACTGATTGTGGAGTATGTGGGAGTTCAAGGCTTGTGGTATGCAAAAACATTTTTGCATGTAGAGGGCAACACTGAAGGAGAATAACTACACATGTGAGAGAGATAAGTACCTATCAGAAATATATTTTCAGTAAAGGAAAATAATAATTTCCATTACGTTTGTGTTTTTAGTGTTGCATTAAGGTTAACATTAAAACTTGGAAAATTTTAAGTTGATTTTCAAACTTAGCATTATCTCAGGTGGTGAAATATGACACAAGTGATCAAATAAATGTTTTAGGTAGAACACCATAAATGTATGATGTTATAATAACTAGTTTTCATTTTTGATTTAATCCTGTAAAAACTTGGAACTGACAACTTTTGTTTGTGCAATTTTTATGCATGGTATTGGTCTAGTTCATAGTGAAAAGTAATCAAAATGTAGTATTTCAAATGTATATACCATATACACTGTACTTGCCATGTTGTGACCACAAAATATTGTTTCAAACATATGTTTTTTATTGGTACTGCACTTTCTTACAGTATTGGTTAGATCTTGAGAAACCCATATGTCAACAAAACAGCTTGTCTTTGGTAAATCCCATTATGTATTTCTGTGTGAAGTTTTATACACCTGATCCTGCTCAACTAGAAGAAGAATATACCAGGTAACAGCAACATTAATCAATTAAATCAATTTTTTTCTGTTTTTTTATTAATGTATACTTAATTATGTTTGATAGATAGGAATCATAAAACTGCTGTAAACAGCATGATATATGTATATTGTAGCTATAAGTACAACTGTAGTAAAGTATTAAACAGGCATGCTTGAGTTATCAGAAATCTGATGTATTGAATAAATGTTTACTATTTGCACAAATATTTTGTATTTCAATGTATAAGCTTAAAAGAAAGTGAATTGTGAAAGTGTATTGAACTTGGACACCACCCATAAATGTTTTATATTAATTATTTCTATTTTTAGAGGACATCAGTGAAATACTTAAGTATCTCACCTTTCCAGTGTTAGTACATAGAGTACACTAGGTTGTCAAGAAATTAATGTCGCTTTTTTTAGATGAAAATACCTGAACAACTTATATATCAAAATGAAATAGTCTCCATTCTTATCAGTGATGCTTTTCCATCTTACAATCAGGTTGTTAATGCCCTGATTAAAGAAATCACTTGGCTTTGAAGCAAAAAACATGTTGATGTCTTCTTTAACAACTTCCATATTTGCATACGTTTTCCTATTAAGATGGTGTTGCAGCAAATGAAAAACATAGTAATCTGATGGTGCCATATCTGGAGAATATGGTGGGTGGGGGAGAACTTCCCAATCCAACTCCATAATCTTGTGTTGCATCAAATGTGCCACGTGTGGATGTGCATTGTCGTGGAGAAGAAGAACACCTTTCCAGTTGACGATTGAAGGGCGTTTCTGATGAAGGGCTTGATTTTAACGTTCCAGTTGCTGACTATAGATCTCTGCATTGACAGTTTGCTGTGGAGTGATGAGGAGTTCAAAATGAATTACCCATTTGATGTCCCACCAAATGCAAAGCATCACTTTCTGCAGATGGAGTCCAGGTTTTGGGTTTGGAAGTGGTTTTTGTCCAGGACTGAGCCATTGTTTTTGGTGTTTAACATTCACATAGAGAATTCATTTTTCATCACCGGTGACAGTTCTGTCCAAAAATGGTTCACACACATTACGCGCCAGAAGAGACGAGGCAATGTTCACATGTTGGAAACAATGATCATCGGAGAGTTTGTGAGGCACCCAAACACCTTCTTTATGGAGTTTTTCCATATTCCTTAGATGTTTACGTATTGTTTCGTGAGAGATATGCAATTTCATGGCCATTTCACAAGAGTGTTGCCTTGGGTTAGACTCAACAAGTGTCTTCAGAACATCAATATCAATTCCAACATGTCAGCCACTGCCATCACAGTTTTTAAGGCTAAAGTCACCTGAATGAAATTTGCTGAACTATTGTTGATACTTACAAACGTTCAAAACATTTCCATAAACTTCTTTGATATTCTTTGTGGCTACAGAGGCATTGTTTCCCCTTCTTGTATTCAAACAGCATTACATTCCGAATGTGTGTCTCGTCGTGTGTCATAAGGGATTAGAGTATATGAAACTTTAGGCTAGACTAACGTGATGTTTAGGTGGCTTATTTGACTATTATATGTGATGTACGTTTTTTGGGGGGGTGGTTAATGAAAGTGATCCAAAATGTGATATTAAGTTCTTGATGACCTAATATTTTGTAGTTTTGTTACACTGTTATTTAAATCTGGATTAAAACTTATTCAAAAATTATTTTAATCAAAAAGTCAACAAATTTTATAGATGAAATTATTTGTTGAAATATATGTATAGTCTATTTGAGATTTTTCTTAACACTGTTAGTTTAAAAATATAACAGAAGCTTTTAAAAAAGTGTAAAAGTGTTATCTTATTTTTTTTAAGGTATTTGTTTAGTCTACAAATAAAACGGGACTTAACTCAAGGAACTCTTGTTTGTAATGACAATACTGCTGCCTTAATAGCTTCTTACATAGTTCAGGGTAAGTTATCTAACACTTTCATATATATATAAATAATTGTCATTGGTACAAAACTTTTTAAAACAATTTTTATATTTCCTTTGAAAGAAGTACCAAAAAAACTTGAGTAGCTTCTGTTTATATGTAATATTTCTGTACTAAGAATCAAGTATGCAATAAGAATTGATAAATATTCAGTGTAATATTTAAAATACTTTTTGATCCATTTTCATGATTAGTCACTTTAAATACATAATATTCAAGATCATGTTCTGTGTTTAACAGAAGAGATAATTATTTGCTTTACTTCTTTACTTATTTATCAATTATCTCTTCTAGTTATGACCTTTGTACTTGTTTACTGCTTGTCGTAGGTCGCTAAGCCTCATGAAATTTCAGGCGTGGAGGATGTGAAACAAAATAATTCTTTTTAGGTTTTATATATAATCAAATAACCAAAAAAAAAATCATAAATTACTATATTGATACCATAGAATTCCACTATAATTTATCAAGCATAGTAACTAAGCTGTATTTGGGTCTAAAAAAAATATGAAATTTTGAGCAGACTAACGACTCACCTTGTATTGAAAGAACGAGAGGATGACGTAATACTTGAAAATGACTTAGAAAGCCACTAGGGGGACATTCTGAGCTTTCAGTTGGTTATTCACATGTCATAGACAGAAGTAAATGTATATAAGAGAGTGTTTCCAAAAATGGAAAGAGGTGAATGTGGCCACTGTGTTTGATTCAGTACATGAGCAATATCTCGGCAAATAGAAAAGACAGGAGTTCTTATTTTATATTCTACTCGTTAATATTTGTAATTTGAATTCCTAATTCGTACGAAACTATATACTTTGTATTTTGACATCACAAACATCTAATTTCAGTGCTGCATTCAACATACCACGTGACACGTTAAGGGGTGTTTTTTAATACTTGCTTTTAAATTAAGAACTTAAATAATGTATAATACTTTGACCCATGTGGAAATGGTTAACTATTATTATCAGGTACTGTTTTTGCTGGCATATAACTCGCTGTGAATAGTAGGTGCCTATGTTTCCAAATGAGTTACTTAATGATTGAAGTGTTAGATCTGAATAAATGAATCAAATACGTTTGCTATTTGCTATTTGTCTTTAATAAGAAGTACATTTGCATAGTGTTTATATTATTATTATTATATAATACAACATAAATATGAGGATATGCAGAACAAACGCACAATATAGCTGAGTTAATGAAAAATGACTTTTATTTTTTCACTGCTATGGTCAAATACTTAATAACTTGGAACTACATGTTTGAATCATGTTTGAATTCATGGTTCCAGGCAACTTGGCAATTGATAATATGATTTGTACAGTTTTATGTTAACGTTATGTGATTTTTGTACATGTTTTCTACATGTACAACTGAGAGGGGTTTTGAAATGCATATAAAATATTCTCTACTGATATTATTGTATTATTTAAAAAAATTTGTTACAGTCTCTTTGGTGTCTTGTGCTTGGTTGCTAGTATTCTCAACAAGATTATTGAATGAGCAGATATATTCCAGAATTATGCTTATACCTTATAAGAAAAACTGAGTAATTTTGTAAACATCAAATATTATGACTCATTATTTTGTTCAGTCAAAGAAATGATTTTCTCTTGTGAGCAAAATCAAATGAGATAAAATTTATCCATAAATAATCAAGATAGTTTTTTAGGTGCAATAAATTTGAAAAACCTTAAATTTTGATATAATTTAGATATGTATTAAATTAAGAAATTATAAAAATTTATATTTTTATATTAGGCAAACAGAAATGTAAGTAAAATAAATATTAAAGTCTTAAAAAGTTGGAATGAAAACTTACTCATTCATTATTGAAAATTAATCCTTCAGAATTACTGTAGTGGTACATGTAATAATTTTGTGATCTATATTATGTAGGTATTTGTTATCTTATGAAACACACTTTAATAAAACTATTAAATTAGTATATCAATCAAAGGAAAATAAGATTGTTTTTTTTAGCTACCAAAGTCTTGTAAATCATTAATTAAGTATTAACCATAAAACAAAACAAAAGTTTTTGTGTTGGACTTTACCTGGTTTAAAAATTTCAGTATGAAAATTTAATTTAACAAATTTCAAGAAAAAGTAGAAAACAATGCCTGAAATAGGTATTATGTGATTTACCATTTGATATTTAGCTGAATGTGGTGACTTTGATCCTGAAGATTATCCGGATCACACATACCTATCATCATTCAGGTTTGTACTTCATCAAGATTTTGCATTTGAAAAGAAGATCATGGAAAATCATAAAAAGCATGTGTAAGTACAGTATGTTTCTGTTTTATTCTTCCACGAATCCATCCCATAAAGTAAAGACGCTGTATGCATTTTTGCTTAAAATTTTCTTTCTATAGCTGTATAATTCTGTGTATTGATACATAATATTAATAACAGAAAATATTTTACAAAGTAAAATATTATACTTTTATCCTATAACTCTTGTAAATTAAAATGAAATGTTTAAATTAAACCTCTACTTTTCAGCATGATATTGACATTTTACATATACTGTATCTAGAATGCATTTAACTGGGTATCAAATATTTGAGTGAACAGAAAACTTGTGTTGAAAAAATTAAATACTCTGCTGGTCAAACTCCATCCATTATAAATAAAACTGTACGAAATATAACCTTGATCACTGGTCTTAAAGTTATGACTGTTTCTTCTATTATATGTGTGTTTTTTTCATATTTGTATATGTAAATCCAGTAAATGCCTGGGTTAATCATAAAACATTCCTGAAATATTTAACATAAGATCATTTTTTTAGTCTTGTTTTGTTTTTGATCCAAAATTTAACCACTTTTTACTGCCATAAATCTTGGTTAATTTTATTTCATTAGCATAAAATATTTGTCATATATGATACATACACACAAACAGTTAAGAAACAAAAATTGACCAATTAAAGTAATATGAGGATTTCTTTAACAACTGTACAATAAGACTATTAAAAAAATAGTTTAATAAACATGCTAGTGTATTATGATGTAAATCTTGAAATTTATAAATTTTAACTCAACTTATATTAATATATATGCTGTTAAATGTAGAAATGGCATTTTAGCTTCTTTTTCGTAAATTTACAATAAAACATTAATTTACACCTTTTAATTTTCATCTTTGTAATAATACTCTAAAATATAATTTTTTTTTATCTGTATTGTGGGTAAGTTTAGTCAGTTTTAATTGTACATACTTGTATGTGGTTGGACTATGAACTACACAGTACCCATGAGACACACTATATCCATTAGTATTAATGTATCAAAGTATCAAAGTAAAACTAACAGGTGGGTTTAACTGTAGTGAAAGCTGAATGTTTTTATGCATGAAAAAGTTGTAATATTGAACCCTATTGAGACGGGTAGGGGTCAGAGGGCATGTTATCATGTTTGTAAATTTACGTTCAACAATTTATTTAGCTATTATTTTATAAAATATGTCAATATGTTTGGTATCAAATTGTAGATTATAATTCAAATTTTAGTATTATCCATTAGTTAGTTTCTTAATTTGAAATTAAAAAAAAAAGACTAAATACTTATTTTTGTGTCAAGTGATACATGACCTTCTACGTTTGGTCAGATTATATTTTATGATGCTACAATACAACAATAGTTTTGTACGAATTATAAACTCAAATGTTCAATATTGGTGAGCTAGAATATAAAATAAGAACCTCCTACCTTTTCTATTTGCTGAGATGCCATGATATTTAGAGAACCCACCATATTGGCTCTGCCCACCATTTCATCGTTTGAGAAGACCTATTTTTCTATGCCTACTTTTATATACCAATAACTTTATAATCAATCAAAAACTATATATTCATTCTACATAATTCTGTCAGTTTTCCTACGTTATATAGGAGAGAAGTGCTCTTTTCTCATTGGATAGTTTGAAGTATTACTTTCAAGGCTATTTTGTGAATAGAAATTATATTTTTTTAGACCGAAATACAATTTAGTTAGGAAACATTATAAATTACAGTGGATTTTTGGGGTATTGATATAGTAATTTATAATATTTTTGTATTCCAAATTGCTTATATGAAGTCTACAAAAATTATTATTTTACCATCTCCATGTGAATTTTGACGAGGCTTAGCAAGTATGGCTCATGAGTGCAAACAAGGACTTCGTAGCATAGTAAGTAGTAGAGATCATTGTTATCCAAATATTCTTTATTTACTGTTTTAGGTTTTAGGTTTTTTACTGTAATAGGTGAGAGTTGGTTGATGAATGTATTTTACAAAGTAAGAACTTGTGTTATTTTTCTACTCGTTTACATTGAGGTCGAATAAAAACAAATTATACAAAACTAAAGACTTGGCAATTCTGGAAAAGTTTATTTATGGAATTTGTGAAAGTCTAAGAAATAAGTTTATCACTGATCAACTGATGAAAAGGAACATCTTTACATAAACACCTGGCTGAGCTTGCAGTTTGCTGGTTAATAATTTGTTTCTCAAGTTACAATCAAGAAGGCTAAGCCAAGAATACTAGTCCAACCAAAACGAGCCATATTTATATTACTGGAAACCACATTTATTGGTCACTGTATAAGCATGGTAATATAGGAAACAGGATGTTCATAAGCATTTACACCTATAACATTGCTAAATCCCAACCACCAAGTAAGATAACTAGCAAGTTTATCGGATAGGATACAACTTTGTACAGAGCCATATCATAAATATTTTCTCTCACTTTATTATAAGGAAGTTGGCAAATTCTATCCCAGTGTATTCTAAGAGCAGCAATCCAAATAGTTTCTGTAAGATACTTCCGCTTTTTGATTTATTGGATCGGCCCAGGTTTTCTACAAAGTCATAAACATTTTATAATACTTCAGACAATTGTCGTTGTAACCATTATACTGTCAACAAGTTGATACATCCTGTCCCACTGTGTTTTCAAAGCAGGGAAAATTCTGGAAATTGCGCTGAATGTACTTGTTTAATATTGATGGTTTCCAAGTACTCAAAGTAAGGTAACACCTAAACAGGAACAGTGATTCATTGCTTTATACTTGGCAGGTTTCTACTTCAGCCATTAACAGCAGAATAACAATAGGAAATAGGTGTAAAAAAGATTAGAAGAAACTCTGAGGAGATTTACTTGGAACTTTACTGTCCGTACCAGAAAGAGCATAGCACTATTCATTTTCTTTCTTCTAATTTCTAACTCATCTACTGGCAATAAAATAACTACAGAAAATAAGTGTGAAAAGGTGAGAGTGTAAACTCTGACCACAAATACTTTGAAATTTTGTAATCACCACTAACAATACTATACATTTTATTTTTCATCCTTTATTTTCGTTATACTTTGATTACTTGCCTACAACCTGAAGAAATAAGTATGATGTTACAGTACAAAAAATAAATAAAACAAAAATCCTTACTGAAAATAAAAATGTTTGATATTTAATTACAAGGTTTTATATTTTTCATTTGTTTTAACTGTTTATTATCGTAAAAATAACTAAAAGCATAAAAATAGAAAGTTGTTAAGTAAGATAATGAAAGAAAAATAATAAAAAACCTTCATGGCGTATATGTGCCAGAAGCTTCTGTATTACGCTGTTTGATAGTGTCATGTTGATGCACATGTGCTGTGTTTTTTTCAACTTTAGTCAGGTTATTTTTAGCCAGACATGGTTCAAAGGTCAATAAAACAAAAATTAATAAATATAAATAGATTTAGACTGTTAAGAGATTTAAGCTATTTAGAATAGACATTTGTGGTTTCCTACAATAATTTTCAGTTATTCTAGAACAGAAAAGTAAATTAGATTTTTTTCCTCATTTTTTATTATGGTTACGAGGTTGGTCAAATTGACCCACACCATACAGAGTTAATATTGATAAAATAACAAACTAAATATAAAGTTTTATTTTAAAAAATGTTTGATGAATATCTAGAAGGATATAGAGATTATGCAAATGAAACTTGACAAATTTCAGATTATGACAAGTATTTTTAATCTTAAAATCAAAATTACTTTGTATGTTGAATTGCCAACATTCTAAAAGAAAAAATGCATGAGTAAATCTTTAATAAAACAATCTTAAAACATAATTCAAAAACCAGATATTTTGTGTATGAAATCAGTGTAATGTTTACTAATAATCTGCAACATTTTGTAAAGACTTGCATACATTTTGAAAAATTATAGTATAATTACTCTCATAGATACTTTCCTGGTTACGAGCTGGGTGGATCCCACCCAGCCCATAATGGAAGGGATAAAGTAAATGATTAACCATCAATTTTTATTATGAAATATATTTTTAATATTGAAATTTATTTTCTTCTGTAGAGGACAGACACCTTCTGAAGCTGATCTTAATCTGTTAGAAACTAGTCGAAAATGTGAGCTTTATGGAATTAAAATGACTCCAGCGAAGGTGAAATAAATAATTTCAGTTTGTTGAAAGATTTGAAGAATGTATTATAATTACATATGTTATATGTATGAGGATATGTTTATTATATGTAAATGACTTTGTTTACTTTATGTTATAAAATTAAAATATTATCACTAGACATTTAAAGTGTTTTCAGAGATATTAACCTCTGTTATTGACATAAATCAAGTTATAAATTGATTTTTTATTTGTGAATGTAAACTGCAGAAGTAAGCAAACATTTGTGTTTTGTATATTAGGACCAGGAAGGAGTTCCTATAAATGTGGCAGTTGCACACATGGGAATTTTAGTCTTCCAGAATATCACAAGGATAAACACTTTTTCTTGGGCCAAAATTCGGAAGTTAAGTTTCAAGCGTAAAAAATTCCTAATTAAACTGCACCCTGAAAGATATGTAAGTGATATTAATTTTTGATTACATTTATATTAATTGTATATTGTTATATGTGTGTGTGTGTATGTATATACACACACACACAAATATATATATATAAACATTATGAAAGAGAAAATTTCAAAGACGATGCAAATTGCAGTCATTTTCCATATTTAAAAAATTTCTTATTTCATAATGATTAATTTTGATCTAAAAAACTTAAATTTTGGTCATTTGGTGGTACCTAAATTAATAAAATGTGAATAAATGTACCTGTAGAAACTAAAAAAAATGCTTATCTATCTTTGAAAGAAATACAACTGTGGTTTACATGTGATGTCTTTAAACTTTAACTGTGGTTAATTTTATAAGCTTTTAATTCTTTTTTGCTTTATCTTGAACCATTCATTTCACATTTTAGAACTTTAAGTTTGAAGTTGTGAGATTTGAAAAGTACTCCATCATACGTCACATTTTTAATGATCAAGTGAGAAATGTCTTGTTATGTTGGTATTAAAGTTTACGGATGGTATAAGAGAGTGCTCTATCTTTTTTTTTTTTGCAAGATACTTTCGATACATATCATCTATGAACAAGGTTTATTGTTTGAATACATTCTATTATTGTAACTCTCCATCAGTAATTTTGTTTAGAGCTGGGACATTAGTGGAATTTACTAACTTATTAATCATTGGGCTTGTTAAATAATTAGATTCAACAAATTGATTTTTCTCGCATGAGACTAGTCTTATTTTCAACTTGTTTCAGGCTTTTTAAAAGAACTTTTCTTATCCAAAACTGTTATACTTGAAAGTGTACTATATACACAACATAATATGAAACCTGCAACAGTTTAAAATATAATAAATACTATTCCATGGGTTTCTCGCAACACATTTTCACAAGACTACTAAAACTAGATAAACTATTATTTTTGCTAAAAATAATTGTCCTGAGATTTCATATGATAAAACTATTAGAAATTCTTGTCAGATGCAATGTGTAATAGATAACGTATAATTCAGTGAAAATAAATTCATGCCAATCCTAGAAAAATAAGGTTAATATAACATTTATACCAGCAAGAGACCTTGATATGATTCTAGATTACCTTTTTGCAGAGTCTAAAATGATTCATTAGGTGGAAATCAAAATATTATAAGAAATATTAAAATCGAGATAATGTGAAAAAATATTTTATTATAGATGTTTCAGAATTTTTTTTACATTCCATTATCAGTGTTGAAGACTTAAAAAGTAATTAACAATTTTTAAGTACAGAAAAAATATCATAAACTTTTTTAATCAATAAGTTGTTTAAACAGACAGAAGTTTAGAAAGAACATATTAAAAAGGATTAATAGGTTTACATTTTTTATGGCACAAGCTAGAAGAAACTATAGAAACACATGTGCATGCTTAGAAATGAATAAACAGTTTAAAGCATACTGTATTAGACAGTTTCTAAACAGCACTTGAGAACAGTCAGACTGTTGTTTTCCCTTATTAGTGCATCCTATGTAACTAGATCTAGTCATAATTAAACATGAGTCCTGTTCATGTAAATTGGTTGATGACTTAATTGTATTACATACTGTTATTAGTTCATGTCTAGTAATTTCTGATAAACAGTTAAATGGGCCAGTTATTCAGCAGTAAAATTTGTACTGAGCAAATAAAGAACAATGAATATTAACTTGCAGCTTTTTTAATCTTACCCTAAGTAACATAGATTGCATTTGTAGCTTATAATAAGTAAGCAGTATATTAAGTTGAAGCTACAGTATTATTCTGAGATTATAACTCAACTCTATACATAAAAATACCATCTTCCTAATGTGTCTGCCTATTAGATTTGAATGTCACTAGCCTTGTGGTAACTCGCATCTAAATTTACCTGTTTAATGTGAACTGCTCTGTTGCATGATAATATCATCATGCAACAAAAACCCTCCTCCTATAAGAGGGTAACCCAGTTATTTCCCCTGTGCACTAGCACTCTTGATAACTTCATTATTCTCCTTGGCATTGCAATAAACAGATGTGTTTAAAATTTCTTGTTTGAGCTCAGTTTGATAAGATTTGCATTTGTTAAAGTAATTTTGATTTTCTTTGGCTTTTGTTTCAAAAGCGTTAATTTTTATCATGAATTCTCAAATGATAGTGACTTGTACTTAGTCCTGTGTGAATGATGATATTACAGACACAAGCCTTATTTCTATTATGGTTTCTGGAGGCTTGTTAACTACTAGGGACATTGCAGCCATTGTTCAACATGTTATGGATTACAAAATGCTTATTGGGCTTCCTACTGTTGTTCTTTCCTTGATACCCGACACCTCTTCTCAGGTTTTATTGTTGACATTTCTTTGGCTAGCTTAGCTTTGGTTTTCTTTGCTTAGCATCCATAACCCCCTTCCTCTACCCAATATCCCCTTTCTATCACTTCAACCTCACATGTCCCTTTTCCATTGAGGGATATAATCCCTCCATCTTCACGAATGGGATTTTTCCAGTCTTTTGCCTGTTGGGCTAGGCTCTTTGATCATGTGGCATTCTTCTTGTTACATTGTTACATTCCAGACACCCTTTTTATTATGTCTATCACAGAAAGTGGCGGGTCTTTTTCATGAAATCGCTTGCCACTCCTTTCTTCCTGGTCATCCTACTGCCCATCCCTTTCTACTTGGCTATTAGTCCATGGTTTGTTAGTCTCCACCGTTGCTGGTTATTGGGTGGCTTTGTCAATTGCATTTTGCCTTTCCTGGTACCACAGAGTGCTTCTTCCCCTGTCCTCTCCATTCTGTTCCACTCCTTCATTCTTCTCTGACCTCCTCGGCTGACTTTCATGCCTGACTGGGACCTTACTATGGCTTTGTATGCTCTTGCTCATGTCCTGCTTCTAGACTTTATTACCATCTTTCTCTCTAGACTTATTCCCTCCTCCTTCTCACTTGCAATTACCATCATTCAGATTTCTATGCAATTGATGTTTCTCACATCCTATTCCACTACATTTCATACTCTTTGGATATATATTTCCTTCCTAAGACTAATAACTGTACTTTCTCTCACCTATATGATTATTCATACCCAGATTGACTCCTGTGTTCTGTTCAGGCTGTTCATTGTTGCTTATCATGGACTCCTCACTTTTGGGGTTCTTTCCCTAGTCTCGGCCCACTCTTCTTCTAGGGCCTACTGAATGGGTCTGTCGACTCCTCCAGTTGGTATATTTGGGGATACCCACAGTGTATTTCACATTTTTGCCAGCCTATGGACAAGATCCTCCAAGCAGGCATGTGGATGACTTCCCACATGTTCATCTCTCATTATCTACACTGTCTGGCTGTGTCATCTCCCACTAGATTTTGACTTCCACTGATCACTATTCTTCAATCAACCCACCATCTTTGAGAAGAGTAAGTACATTTTATTTTTTTCAGCTTCCTTTTACATTTATTAAGATCCTGCCAGGTAGCTGGTGTTGCCTCCTAGGGTATGCTTATTTCCCCAAATCTGCATTGAGCCAAAATAACAAAGTTCTCAAACCATCTGCTCTGTTTCTATCAGTGCCCATTATGAGATGGGGAGTTCTACAAGACCATTTGAGGTATCCTCATGGTATAATATGCTGTCATGGAAAAAGCCAGAACCAGGTAATTGTTCTGCCTACTACTTTGGCTTACACTTTCCAGCTTTTAAAAATAGAGTTGCGTGGTCACCCATTGCACTGTCTACACTAAAAGACCTTTCAAGCTGGTGGTCTAATGGGAGTCTGGGCACTTTTCTGAGTCTCCCCAACATGAACCCCCCCCCCATTCCTTGGAGTGGAGACCCTTGCCACTCACCAGTTCCTAGCCACTGGGGTAATGGACTGTGGACTTAGTGATTGGGCTTAGCACAATATAGTGAGAATGAGATAGTAGTGACACTGTTATTGTAGCACGTGTCACTTTTGAAAAAAACACGTACCACAACAGTAATGGTATGATATGATTGTGCCCTGACCACACTACATATATTGGATTGCAGAACACTTGTGTACAAGTACTTGAATGGTCATGTTCTCATTCAGCCCATCCCAGCAACACTTGGGAATCATTTGCCTTCCTCCACCCCTTACGTTCTGACCGAAGAGTATATCCTGGTTGAGATGAGATGTGGTCTTCCACAGGTATGCCCCTTTGGAGCCCCTGTCATTGGATATCACATTCCAAGGATTTCCCTTCAGACACTTTTGAAAGTTAACATTTTTCTGATTTGAAAATATATTCCTGATAGATACTTAAGTCTTCACACATTCCCACCCATCTTTCCTACTTCTGGTGCACACTTTTTTTCCTGCCTCTTGAAAGAATGAAGTTATCAGGAGTGCAAGTGCATAGAGGGAGCTACTTCGCATAGAGGCTATGTCACCCTTTTATTGGTGGAGGGCTTTTTGTACATGATGATGCCATCATGCACTAGTGCAGTTCACGTTAAACACATGAATTTAGGTGGGAGTTATCTCAAGGTTAGTGGCATGCAAGTCTCACAGGTAGATGTGCAAGGAAGATAGCATTTCTGTTTGTGGAGGTATCTATCATAATTGCATTTTCAGGTTAGGAAAATGTTCACTTTATACATACAAGGTAAACAAACAACTTGCATCAGTCTGGCTAACTATGTAACCTATGGCCACTAGGCTACACGCTCACATTCACGAGTTGTATACAAGCAGAGTAAATGCATACCGTATTGAGCAGTTGCCCCAATAGAAGTACTAGTAGCTAATGTTTCAATTGCTTGGATTGTAATCATGAGAAACACTGTAATTTCAATTAGTTAACTATTTTTATAAATCATGACACTATTCAATTAAGCTACATGAACAATCATATACTGAGCTAATATTCAAAGTTATGTCAACTCTTCTGAACTCCAAATTAGGTTCGTTCCCATATTTTCCAGTTTTGGTGATCACTGTTTAAAATTTACAGGGCTTATTAAACCAAGTACTTTAATGGCAAAAACATGGGAGTTACAGACTGCCTAATCCCTAGAATAAACATAATCAGTAATACTGAAGAGATAAAAAAAAGTGGAATAAAGCATAACTATATATTTTTTTAATTTGATAGTGGATATCTTGAATACTGGAGGAAAAAAGAAAGTATAGGCTATGAACACAAAGAATAAACAAAAATAAACTTGCACATATACAACAATTTTTTGTGGTGTTAAATGCATCTAGGAAAACAATATAAAAGAGTTTTGAAAATACCAAATATGAAACAGTTTTTATAAGTGCTGTATCACTGAGTACATACCTAACCACTGATGAACCTTTGAGGAGTAAAGACACCATATACAATTATACGTGTAAATGTGAGCAATAGTACATTGAAGGACCTAAATATCTAGTACAATAGACATACATACGTATATTAGACTATATAATACTTCAGTGTGTACAGTAGAGCTGATAATGCCAGACAGGAAAGATACCAATGTGTGCATTGTCATTTTTTAGACATTTTTGCCTTGTCAAATTAGTCTCTTTGTAGTCATATAAGATTTTTTGCAAGTACAAAAAGTTCACCTGTTTTATGGCTTTTTTTCATGACATACTTGTAAAAAAAACTGTTAATGTCCCCATTTTCCAACATTTGCATGGTTATCCCTAGTTTCTTTTCTGCATTATAAAAAAACTTTTTGAAAGTTCATGTTGGCATATTGTGTTACATATACTTTACGTTGTGAACACTTTTGTTTTTATTAATATACCACCTGTATTCAAGTACAAATCTTTTAGTGTGTAGAGGCTTGTCATGTAGTAATAGAAAGGAAATTCTCTGCTTTGCAAATCTGTGAGTGTTTGTGTATTTAATTATATATCAATAACATTATTCAGTACATCAGTAAAAATAGCACAAAATATTACTATGATTTTTTTGTGTGCATGTATTTTCTTTAAGTCAAAAATAAAATGATTAAAAATTATAAACTGTTGTGAATTGATGTTGTTGTATGATCATCAACAACATTTCATAAGTCAATTTATCATACAACATCTGTTTGTGTTTACTTACAGCACAATTTTTGGTAGTGATCAGTAAGTGCTTGTCTAGAATGTGCTAACCTATAAATATTTTGTTGTTTAATGTTTTATACTCTTAGGGGCATTACAAGGATACAGTTGAATTTTACTTTGAAAGAAGAAATTTATGCAAGAATTTCTGGAAAAAATGTCTTGAAAATCATGGTTTCTTTCGGTGCACTGAAGTCCACAAAATTCCTCGCCACAAGACCAGAATTTTCAGTAATGGTTCTTCTTTCAGGTGAGTTTTGACTGAATAAAAATGTATTACATGGATATTGCTAACATTTTGTTTTCGTAACCAGCAATTGTCTTTATACTAAGATGTCTCATTAGATCTGTTGATATTGGGCATTGTTGGAGCTAGATATATAACTTCAGGTTAGTTTCAAATATTAACGTGTTAATCTACCCACTGTTGCATAGAGCTAGGTAATTAACTCGATTAACCAGTATAATCAATTACCTATGAACATCAATTACATAGATTAGAGTCACATAAAATAAACAAAATTATGTATGTTTATGTATACATTATCAGTTGTCTGATATATCATATGATAAAATTTTGGGTTGTATGATATTATATTGTAATATTAATCATATAATTTCAGTCATAAGATGGTAGAATATATAAACTGTTTGTTTTAGGTAAGATGAATAAACGAAATATCCTCAATTATTGCTCATAGATACTAATATTGAGTGAAATATAAGGGGGCTTAATAAAATAATATACTGCTGTTTGTTTACAGAATGTCAAATGTGCATCATGTAAAGAAATTTTATTTGTATGACCTTTCTTTTTAATTTTTTTTTAAGTTTGATAGGAAAATAATGTTTTTTTTTTATGATTTTAAAATAACTTGTAGATTGATAACATACAAGAAGTACTGTCATATATACACTAGTGGTTGTGCACTCATCAAGAGCAGAAATTGAATTCCAAGTAAACGTAATGGAATCAGGACAGACGTACTTGTTTTATAATATGTAGCAAGTATGTTTTATAAATTTTTGGCAGAGTTAACAAGTGATTTAAAGATGTTGCAAGATTATTCATCTCGTAGAACATTATCAGATTTCTTATTTAATTTTTAGTTTTAAAAATACTGTTACAAAACACTAGTTTATCCTTAGAAAGTAGTCAGGTTATTGAGTTTCTTTAGCTATGCTTTTAACTACCATTTTTAAAGCAATTATTATCTTAAGCATCAAGATTGTATTTACTAGGTATAGTGGACGCACTCAGAAACAAATGTCAGAATATGTGAGAAAGAATTTTGTAAAGAGACATCCTTTTCAGAGGTAAAAGAAATAAATTTTATTACTATATTTTAAATTGTAAGTTACACCTAGCCAAGTCGTCTGTGTTGATTAGGCATAGAAACCACATGGAAATATAAAAGTTGTTTGTCTGAATAAATTATTAATTTGCCCTTTCTGGTCATATAAATGTCTTTCTTGCTGATCACCTTTTTCAAGTGTTCCTAAATACTGAGTCCTTGATGTTTTTAAATCTTATGTAACCTTATGTTTTAGAGAGTATCACTAGATTTCACAAATATTTAAGACAAGCATTCTGGAATACAAATATATCGGAAGAAAAACTTAAGTAGTTTGATGCTTATTTCAGTTGATTTCATGCAAAAGCAATGGAATTTGTGTCTGACTTTTAACATATAGTTTTAGATAATGGCATCCTCTTTTTCTTTTGTAACTACTGATAACTTTTGTAAATCCTGCACTTCATTTCTAATGATTTATGATGTAAGTAAATTTATCAGCTTTAGCTTGATGATACATAACTCTTAATCGTACTTTTTCAAAAGATGCATCTTTCTCAAGTTCTTGATAGACAGTGACAAATGGATCTGTATTTTAAGTTCACTACTCCTATGGTATATTATGGAAATTCTACTTAAGAATCAAATTAGTTGGTGGGAGCTACAGGAAGGGGGCTGCAATCAGAGAATTTTATTCATAAAGTATGAATTGGAACCCTGGGCATGCTCAAGACATACTGTGAATAAGAAATTTTAGTAGTAATATCATGCTCCACTATCTAAAAGCATTGTACATTCTAACAGGAAAGTTTATCCTTTAATGCACAGTTCTGAACATTTGCCAGTACTATATTTAAACTAAAATAACAATACTATTATTTAATACTGTTGCTTTAATAGTTATATTAACAAATCAAATGATTTCATAAGATTTAATTATATCAAAGACTATGTATATATATAT